CCTCACCCTTTTTGCTGTAGGGTTGGCACTAGGAGCTTTCTTGGGGCCCATGGTGACTTATTTTGCAGGTGCAATCACTAAAAAGGCTGTGATAATATGAAATGTTCCGATTGTATGCTTGGAAGCGACCACGGTGGCTGGCTGGCTTGTAAACACTGGCCAGAAGTGGACGCGTCTCAGACGGAACGAATAGTGTTGGTCGAGTTTTTTAGCACTAATCGAGGCAAAATTTTTACGATAAAATGTATCGCTAGTCAGATTTATCGTTAATCGATGCCATCGCTGGTCGAGGGTCCACTGTACTTGGGAGTCGACGTGTCGGCGGATGGATTTATGAAGGATGAGGTTAACCATAGAATTGATGAGGGAAAAAAGGCGAGTGGTGCGTTGAGGTATATGTGGAGTCAAAAAACATTATCTATGGAGGCAAAGAAGGGAATGTATGAAAGTATAGTAGTACCAACACTCTTATATGGATGTGGAGCTTGGGTGGTAAATGCAGCAGCGAGGAGACAGTTGGAGGCAGTGGAGATGTCCTGTCTAAGGGCAATGTGTGGTGTAAATATTTGAAAAAATTCGGAGTGTGGAAATTGGAGAAGGGTGGAGTTAATAAAAGCATTGTCAGACGGCAGAGGGGGGTTTTTTGGGTGGTTTGGTCATTTAGAGAAATGATCAAAGTAGAATGACAGGGAAAGCTAAAATCTACGGGGAAGGAAAGAGGGGTAGGGGTCGCTCGAAAGGGTTGGAAAGAGGGGTTTTAAAAGGAGGCTTTGGGGGCGAGGGGTTTGGGACTTCCACAAGCGTGCACGAGGTGTTGATAGGAGTGAATGGGCAAAAACGACGATTGTGGAGTGTGAGCAGGGTAATTTTATGAAAGGGGTTCAGGGAAACCGGTTTTTTTCATATAGTCGGCTTGAGTCCTGGAAATGGAAAATAAATGCCTGCACTTTTTAAAAGGGGGGGTTTGGGGTATTTGGGAGTTTGGAGGGATTGTGTGTTCTTTTACTATATGCTCTAAAAGTTGTTTTGGCACCCCTTCAAAAACGGAAAAATGTGTGTGTGTGGTGAAAGTGTTGAAAGATGATGAAAATATTTTCTTTTTGGGGTTTTCTTCTTTTTTTGGGTCACCCCGCCCCGGGGGGAAACCCGACTTTTTGAGAGAAAAAAAAATTGATAGAGTGGATGGGGGGGAAAGGGCAGATGCTGCAAGTATATGGGAAAAGGCAGTAAAGGGACTAAAAGCTGTAAATTGTTTTTTTTGAGGACGTGAGGGTAGGGTTTGGGTGTGTAGGAGAGGGGAGATTACTTCCCGTAGAAATAGGTCTTAGAAGGGATGTGTAATGTCCCCCATGGGTTTTTTAATTATTTATAGAGGGGGTTTTAAAGGGGGTAAAGAGGGTGTTGGGGAGAGGGGTGGGTTTAAATTATGGGGAATCAAGTACAAAATGGGAGTTGACACAGTTACTTTTTGCTGATGATACTGTGCTTATGGGAGATTCTAAAGAAAAGTTGCAAAGGTTAGTGGACGAGTTTGGGAGGGTGTATAAAGGTAGAAAGTTGAAAGTGAACATTGACAAGAGTAAGGTGATGAGGGTATCAAACGTTTTAGATAAAGAAAAATTGGATATCACATTGTAGAGAAGGAGTATGGAATTGGATATCACATTGTAGAGAAGGAGTATGGAAGAAGTGAATGTTTTCAGATATTTGGGAGTTGACGTGTCAGCAGATGGGTTCATGAAGGATGAGGTTAACCATAGAACTGATGAAGAAAAAAGGTGAGTGGTGCATTGAGGTAAATGTGGAGACAAAAAACATTATTTATGGAGGCAAAGAAATAAATGTATGAAAGTACAGTGGTACCAACAATCTTATATGGGTGTGAAGCTTTGGTTGTAAATGCTGCAGCGAGGAGGCAGTTGAAGGCAGTTGGAGGCAGTGGAGATGTCCTGTCCAAGGACAATGTGTGGTGTAAACATTATGCAGAGAATTCAGAGTGTGGAAATTAGGGGAATGTGTGGCATTAATAAAAGTGAAAACATGCAACTGCATTAAGTTTTATAACCTGCATGAACTGTATCACTGTAGACAACAAGAGTGTTCCACCCCTCCATGGAAGATGTGTTCATTTAATATCACATACCTGGAAGTCCCTCCCAAGAAGCTCACTGCTAGTACAGTGGACCCTCGGCTAACAAAGACATCATCTAACGATAAATTCGCCCAACGAAGCGTTTGAGCGTAAAAATTTTGGCCCAACCAATGATAAAAAACTCAACCAATGTGATTCGTCCCAAACCTGTCCGTCCAGCCTGAGCGCCTCAGCTGCCCTGCCGTCATTCTTTACAAGCCAGGGTGGCCGGTTCCATGCATACATTCGATACATTTTGTATTATTCCATTGTTTTAGTGCTTGTAACTGCTAAATAAGCCACCATGGGCTTCTAGTGCCAACCCTGTGGTAAAAAGGGTGAGAAATACTAACGAAATACTATCGTGCCATGGTCAGCTGCTGCTGTACCACAGTCAGCACCAATGTCAGCTGTCCTACTCAAAGATGTGGAGAGACTGTTGTTGGTGTGGCTTAACGAGAAACACTTAACCCCAGAGGGTTAGCCACCCAGGATAACTATCCCCTGTGGATTCTGTCCCAAGAAATATGTAGGCGAGACAGGCAGAGATCTTGCAAGTCCGCCTCAATGAGCATCGAAATGCCTCTAACAGAGACGATGTAAGGTACGCCTGTGTCCTCCACAGAGACTCCACAGGGCATTTGATGAGCTGGAATGAGGCACAACTCGTTCTCACCGAACCAGACCTGAGACGCCGACGGTGCCTAGAAGCCTCACTAATCGCCGTCACCGACACTATAGAACGTAACACTGGAAACTACAAAATTTCAAAAACATTGGCATACATAATACTTATGCACCACCAACCCAACAACACAGGAGTCACATGATTTCATCGTCTACCCGTCCTCATCTCAACATGACATTCTTCAGGTCACTGTGTCACTCACACCTCACTCTCTGCCTATATATATAATGTCTTTCTACCTCTGTATGTTAGAAGTGATCAAGGTCCCAGGACCGAAACGATTTCTAATAAATATGTCATAGTGTTTGCTTATGTGTCTTCCTAAACCATTAATTTTAATACGCACAAACTGAAGAAGACATGCACAATTACTACTCTACTAAGAACAGAATACATGACACTTACCTTTATTGAAGATCTGATGATGATTGAAGGGATGGGAGGAGGGGAGAGTGTGGAAGTTATTGTTTAGAAGGGGAATCCCCTTCCATTAGGACTTGAGGTAGCAAGTCCTTTTCCGAGGTTACTTCCTTTCTTCTTTCAATGCCACTAGGACCAGCTTGAGAGTCACTGGACCTCTGTGGCACAACAAATCTGTCCATAGAGCTCTGAACATTCCATTCCTTTAAGACTTTCCTAAAATGGGCCATAGCATTTTCATTGTACAGGTTGCCAACACGGCTTGCAGTAGCTGTGTCAGGGTGATTTTCATCCGTAAAAGTTTGCAGTTCAACCCACTCTGCGCACATTTCCTTAATCTCTTTTTTCAATTCCATACTAATTCTTGCCCTCTTTACCACAGGGATGGCACTAGAAGCTTTCTTGGGGTCCATGGTGACTTATTTTGCAGTTACAAGCACTAAAAAACATTGGGATAATGTGAAATGTACCGAATGTATGCATAGATGCGACCACACTGGCTGGCTTGTAAACACTGGCGCTGAGGCCACACGTGGGACGCGTCCCGGACGAATCACGTAAGGCGAGTTTTTTATCCTGAGGCGAGGCAAAATTTTTGTGTTCAAATGCTTCGTATGGCAGATTTAACGTAACACGATGCGTTCGTAAGGCGGGGGTCCACTGTATTTTCTTTTTGGGGATTTTTTCTTTCTTTTTGGGTCACCCTGCCTCGGTGGAAGACGGCCGACTTGTTGAAAAAAAATAAAAATTCAGGGAAACCGGCAGGCTGGACTTGAGTCCTGGAGGTGGGAAGTACTATGTCTGTACTCTGAAGGGGTGTGTTAATGTTGCAGTTAAAACTGCAGTTATAAATAACTGCTTACACTGTAGTTATAAATAACTGCAGCCTAAGCATGCCTCTGGAAAGACAGTGATGGAGTGAATGATGAAAGTTTTTCTTTTTCGGGCCACCCTATCTTGGTGGGAGACGGCTGATGTGTTAATATAATAAATATGTTAAAAGTCAATAAATGTACTGTATTAGTGTTGCTAGGCTATATTATATTGACCTCTGAGGTGCTACATTGTAAAATATAATGTTCGGTGTTTGTCGACCTACATCTTACAATAATTTGCGACAAATATTGTGGTACTTTCATCACGTAGTGCCTTAAAAGCAGTGTACAGCGTAGTGTAGGGTACGTGATCATGTGTACGTAAGACCAGTGGTATACCTAAAGGGTGTTTCGGGGTCAACGTCCCCACAGCCCAGTTCAGGCCACAACCAAGACATTAAATACAAGGGAGGATAAAGAAAATGTTATGTTTAAGATAAAGCAGCAATTTTCATCGTCATTTATTACAATACATTCAGGATCATCTTGCCTTTTTTTTAAAATACTAATAGGAAATTCTTACCTACAAATGCTATGGAGAGAATTCTCACCTAAAATATGATACAGTGACTGACTATTTACCTCTGGCTAAGTGACAAGGTTGAAATTGCCCTCCAAATTATAATCCAGCTACTTGTATTCTTCTTTCAACAAACCAGCTGTATCCCACTGAAGCAGGGTGGCCCAAAAAGAAAAACATTAGTTCCTCTTTTTGACTTTAGCAATGTATACAGAAGGGGTTACTACCCCCTTGCTCCCGGCATTTTAGTCGCCTCTTACGACATGCATGGCTTACGAAGGAAGAATTCTGTTCCACTTCCCCACGGAGATATGAGGAAATAAACAATAACATATGAAAAGTACTCCATGACATAAAAAAACTCACCACTTTCTTCAAGCGTTATTTGAGTTTCTACTTCCATGACACCCTCTTTAACTTCTGTTGACTGCTGAGGTTTTTGTTTTTTGAGAGGAGAGAGCCGGAAAATTTTTATGTTCATTTTGAGTTCGTCATCGTCGTCAACATCATCAGAGTCAGTCGAGATTGGCTGAAGAATTGACTGACTTTCCTCAGAAGATGCTTCCTTAAGAATTTCTGCATTTTGTTTCAACCATTTTTCTTTCATGTTCTGCTCTTCTTTAACCTTTTCTGTGTAGATAAAATAAACATTATTTGAAATATTTTAAAATACATTAAAAACTCTAAATGAGTCTTGAGAATGAACCTACTTCCATTATCATTGAAAGCTATTTCTCTGGATGTGGTGAACCTACTTATGCCCAATATCTGAGAAACTGTTTTCCAGTTCCTTTTTATTTACTTATTTTTTAATACACATTCCGTCTCACCAGGTTAAGGTGACCCGCTCGCACATGCTGGTTAGATGTCCAAGTCCCCTCACAGGCTGAGGGGACTGACCACTTCAAAACTAGCATTTCCAGATTAATTAACTGATCACATCATCTTTACACCTCCACTGCTTCTGCTGTCTTCCCTGTATTCAACTAAAGCCTACTGTGTAGGTGAAATGTTAACCAACTGCTGCACATGTCTTACTCATATGGAATAGCTAGCAAGTCACTAAAAGCAGGAAAGTTTTTATGAAACTCAGGTTACAAGAAAGGAGGACTATTTTGTAGTATGAGTAGGCCTTAGAGATGCATGATGTCACAATGGTTAACATATTTTTAGATGTGGTTGCAAAGGAAGTGAATGCTAGGGTTGGAAAGAAGTGTGTGAAGTTATTATATTTAGTCTTTGCTGATAACAGTTCTTTTTTGGGAAGTGGCAAAGGCTGTTGAAGGAATTTGGGAGGATATGTAAAAAAAGGCAGGTAGTAGGTTGGTAGACAGCAATCACCCAGGGAGGTACTACCGTCCTGCCAAGCGGTACCTCGAGTTACGGACTTAATTTGTTCCAGAAGGCTGATACCAAACGAATTTGCTCCCATAAAGAATAATGTAAATTAGATTAGTCCGTTTCAGACCCCCAAAAATGCACTTACAAAAGCACCTACAAAAATACACTTACAAAATTGTTTGAGTTGGGAGCTGTTTGAAACTCGAGGTACCACCATATGCACTTGTTTTACATGATGGTAGGATTGCTGTCATCTTTTTTTCTGTCCCATAAACAAGCAAGATTTCAGGTACATCTTGCTACTTCTACTTACACTTAGGTCACACTACACATGCATATACAAGCATATATATACACACACCCCTCTGGGTTTTCTTTCTTTTTTTTTTTTTAAAGTTCTTGTTCTTGTTTATTTCCTCTTATTTTCATGGGGAAGTGGTACAGAATTCTTCCTCCGTAAGCCATGCATGTCGTAAGAGGCGACTAAAATGCCGGGAGCAAGGGGCTAGTAACCCCTTTTCCTGTACAAATTACTAAATTTGGAGAGAAACTTTCGTTTTTCTTTTTGGGCCACCCTGCCTTGGTGGGATATGGCCGGTTTGTTGAAAAAAAAAAATGTAAAAGGGCCCCAATGGAAATAAGTCACTCTGTCTGACTTTTTTGAGTTATCCTAGGTACTTTATACGTATGCTGCTATGTATGATAATCTATGTAACCGTATTTGTGTATACCTGAATAAACTTACTTACTTAGGAAAGGATGGAGGGAGGGGGTAAAAGCAGTTTTGTATGCAAGGGGCTTGGACGTGCAGCAGGCACGTGTTAGTGTGTTAGATAGGAGTGAATGGAGACAAATGGTTTTTGGGCCCTGACAAGCTGCTGGAGTGTGAGCAGGGTAATATTTTGTGAATTGATTTAGGGAAACCGGTTAGGCGGACTTGAGTCCTGGATGTGGGAAGTGCAATGCCTGCACTTTAAAGGAAGGGTTTGGGATATTTGCTGTTTGGAGCGACATCTAAACTGCCATATCTGGGTACCTCTGCAAGGACAGTGATTATGTGTGAATGATGGTAAAAGAGTTGAATGATGGTGAAAGTGTTTCTTTCTTTTGAGTCACCCTGCCTAAGTGGGAGACAGCCGACATGTTAAAAAACAAAAAAAAAAAACACAATAGGAGCTAACTGGGAGAGGCAGATGCTGCAAAGGGTTAATTAAGTCTTTGGTAATAAAGTGACCTACATTATGGTGATTGGTATAGTACTGCACACTGTTTTTACTACTGGCTATATCCATACCAAATTAAATAAAACATACTGTCCTGATAGGTGAGATATCTGTGGTACTGCTCCTGTGTGAGAGATGGAGCACAGGTAATGGTGTGTGGTGTTCGTACTGTTTGAAGCCGCAGGTATGGATGGTGGCAAACTCGAGTAGTCGCCACAGTGACTACATAACGGCAAGACTCTGGTTCATCTACTCTCTGAATATAATCCCCAACTCCATCTTCGCAATGAAACTGTAGAAAGATACCAAAAAATGTTTAGAAAATATGGTAATTTATATTTAATATACTGTATACTTGTCTTCATATACAATGGGAGTGCATGGTATAAATATATCTACAGTGAGCCCTAATTATCTGTGGGGGTTACATTTCTGAAGGCACCATAATAAAAAAAGAAAAAATTTACTATTACCACTAAGTTTTTAATTTTTTTTTAACACCTTGGCCATCTCCCACCAATGCAGGGTGACCCAAAAAAGAAAAAAAAACACTTTTGCCATCATTCACACAATCACTGTCTTTGCAGAAACACTCAGATACAAAAGGTTAGATATCACTCCAAACAGCCAATATCCGAAACCCCTCCTGTAAAGTACAGGACTCGTGTCCGGCTAGCCGATTTCCTTGAATCCCTTCATAAAATTTTTCCCTGCTCACATTCCAACAGCTTGTCAGGTCCCAAAAACCATTCATTTCCATTCATTCCAATCTTGACATGCTCACAAATAATTGTTGCATGTCCAAGCCCCTTGCACACAAAACCTCTTTTACCCCCTCCCTCCATCCTTTCCTATGATGACCCCTACCCCTCCTCCCCTCCACTACAGAGTTATACACCCTCCATGTCATCCTACTTTGCTCCATCCTCTCTAAATGACCAGACCACCTCAACAACCCCTCTTCAGCCCTATGAATGATACTTTTTGTAACTCTATACCTCCTCCTAGTATCCACACTACAAATTCTCTGCATAATATTTAGACCACACACTGCCCTTAGACACAACATCTCCACTGCCCCCAGCTTCCTTCTTGCTGCAGCATTTACAAACCGTGCTTTCCACCTATATAAGAGTGTTGGTACCACTATACTCTTGTACATTCCCTTCTTTGCCTCCATGGCAATGAAGGGAATGTACAACACCTTAGCATCTACTTCAGGAATGTCATGTGCATGCTTATTTTACCATTTATTAGTTAAAACATATTACAAATGAAACTTACACGAACTTCTGTGCGTCTGGGCACTCCTGTGAGGTCACATTTTGTCCCATTCACATAAAACTGACTATGAAACCTCTGCAGACGATTCTTTGTCTCGGAGCTATTTTTCCAGTTATATTCAGATTCGTATTTGCCCAAAATAATTATAGGCCCAGAGGCTTTATTGTCTGAAAAATTTAAAGCTTCAGTCAGAAATTCCATTAATTAATGTAAGTACTTTACAGCATACTTTACTAAACCTTAATTTAAAAAATTAATGTTACAAAACCAAATTATTTGGTAAAAGGAAAATGGACAAATTCTGTTTAACATAAACGTCCAACTAAATGCATATGGCTTTTTATTACACAGCAAATGAATGGCACACACACGAGGCTACCAAACATATTAAACAATTAAACAAATGACTAATGGTCAATAACAAAACATTTTCAATGTGGTAAAATTCAATTTCTGAATCAAGGTCAGCTATCATATTTTGACCCGCATACAAGTTATTGTACTTTCTTTTAAAACCAAATAATTAAACCTCTAATCATTCTTAGACAACATGTACTAGTTTAGCATTATGTCTAACAGTGTGACTAATAATGCTACACTAGCCATGGACACAGCAGTTGGTACTACATCCATGTGTGTGGATGTAGTGCCAGCTGGTAATAATGCTGGCTGATACTTGCACAGCAACCATAGTACTATTATATACATTTACCTTAAAACACATACCAACTTCAAGGACTATTATACAGAGCCCTACTTACCTTCTAAATGGTACTGCTTGATTACTGAGCCATAACAAAACTCATATGTCCACCAGTCAACAGTTTTAATAAGACATGGTGCTGTTTCCATGGGTTTCAAAAGAACTGAAATTAGAAACTCTTATGTAAAATGACATACATATATATAATGATTGTGGTTATTGTATAAAGATAAATTTTAAATAATCTCTAAGACCAAACTGTACAATAATTTACAGCAAATAGTAACTTTATCAGTCATCATCTAACATAAGACAAATCCACAGCAACATATACACCTACCATCTGACTTACAACCTGCTCGACTTACGACCACTCGGCTTACGGCCGTGTTTTTTTTGCCAAATTTCTGGGAAATAAACAACTATTTGTGTTGTACACAGTGTTTATCCTAAACCTTACAGTATAAAATACAGTATTAACAACATAAAAAGTAAAGTAAAATATGAAATACCAAAATAAAACAATAAAATAAAGTCATTACAAAAGTGTGATGTTGATATTCAGTAGTAAAGTTCGACTTGCGTCCATTTCGACTTACGACCAGTTTCTCGGAACCGAACTCAGTCGTAAGTCGGATGGTAGGTGTACATCATTAAGATATTAAAATAATTGTTCGCCAAAAACTCACCTGAGATATCCACTAGCTGATCAAGTATGTCGTCATCTGGCTTGAAGTCAGAATCTAAAGGAGCAACACTTGGCAAAGAACATATATATTCCTGCCCATGTTTGTTCATAACAGTCATTACCTCTCCATCCCATACCTTTAAAAAAAAAGAGAAATGCTATGAAAGCTGATATGACAATAATACGTACATACTTTATATCTGAACTTTTTTTTTATTGTGTTTAGACTTAGGAAACAAAAAAATAAATGACACATGCTTAAACTGAGTCTTATTTTTGAAATGCAATTTCCTCACACCTGAAAGTTGTGAAGAGTATAAACTTTGGGAATTAATGTATTAATATACTAAAAAGAGTGTGAGCCTCATGTTTCATGAGAAACAAAAATTACATATGTATTAATAAAATTTTACTAGCACAAGGTCTTAGATACAGAGAATGACAGAGAAAGGCATATTTTATTCTTACAAATTAATTTGTCTGTTACACAAAATTCTCACATAGTATAAGCATAATACAGCACTTTTAACACTCCAGTTGTCTCCCACCAGGGTAGGGTGACCTGACAAAAAAGGAAAACACTTTCACTGTCACTCATTCAATCAGCCTTGCCATACCTGGAGAGGGTTCCAGGGGTCAACGCCCCCACGGCTCCGTCTGAGACCATGCCTCATGGTGGGTCAGGGTCTGATCAACCAGGCTGTTAGTGCTGGCCACATGAAAACTGACATACGAACCACAGCCTGGCTGGTCAGGTATTGGCTTTAGGTGCCTGTCCAGTGCCTTCTTGAAGATGGCCAGGAGTATATTAGTAATCCCCTTTATGTATGCTGGGAGGCAGTTGAACAGTCTTGGGCCCCTGACACTCAATGTGTTCTCTCAGTGTACTCGTGGCACCCCTGCTTTTCATTCGGGAAATGTTGCATCTCCTGCCAAGTCTTTTGCTTTCATAGGGAGTGATTTTCATGTTCAAGTTTAGTACTAATCCTTCTAGGATTTTCCAAGTGTATATTATCATGCATCTCTCTCACCTGCATTCCAGGGAATACAAACAAAAGGACTTCAAACCGTTCCCAGTAATTTAGGTGCCTTATTGTACTTGTGTGTGCCGTGAAAGTTTTTTGTACTCTCTCCAGGTCAGCAATTTTGCCTGCCTTGAAGGGGGCAGTCAGTGTACAGCAGGATTCCAGCACAGAGAGAACAAGTGATTTGAAGAGAATCTTCATGGGCTTGGCATCATTAGTTTTGAAGGTTCTCATTATCCATCCTATCATTTTCCTAGTAGATGCAGTAGATACATTGTTGTGGTCTTTGAAGGAGAGATCCTCTGACATTATCACTCCCAGGTCCTTCACATTACTTTTTTGCTCTATTGTATGGTTAGAATTTGTTGTATACCCTGATACAGTTTCAATTTCCTCAAGTTTTCCATACTTGAGTAGTTGAACTTTCTCTTCACTGAACTTAATATTGTTTCGAGTGGCCTATTTGAAGATCTGATGTCCGCTTAGAGTCTTGCAGTGTCTTTGATGGAGGTCACTGTCACAGCAATTCGGGTGTCATCCGCAAAGGAAGACACGGAACTATGGTTTACATCTCTGTCAATGTCAGATATGAAGATGAGGAATAGGATGGGAGCGAGTACTGTGCCCTGTGGAACAGAGCTTTTCACCGTGGCTGCCTCGGACTTGACTCTGTTTACTATTACTCTTTGTGCTCTATTTGTCAGGAAGTTCAGATCCATCTACCAACTTTTCCTGTTATTCCTTTATCACGTATTTTGTGCGCTATTACAGCGTGGTCACACTTGTTGAAGGCTTTTGCACTCTGTGTATACTACATCTGCATCTTATCCTCTACAGCATCCAGGGCCTTGTCATAGTGGTCCAGTAGCTGGGACAGGCAGGAGTGGGCTGCTCTAAACCCGTGTTGCCCTGGGTTGTGTAAGTGATGGGTATCTAGGTGGTTGGCGATCTTGCTTAGAACCCTTTCAAAGATTTTTATGATACTGGATGTTAGCGCTATCGGTGTGTAGTTCTTTGGAATTGCTTTACTGCGACCTCTGTAGAGTGGGGCTATGTCTGTTGTTTTTAGCAAGTGCGGGATGACCTGTGTCCATGCTCCCTCTCCAAAGAATGCTGAAAGCACGTGAAGGGCTTCTTGCAGTTCTTGATGAACAAGGAGTTCCGTGGGTCTGGGCCTAGGACAGAATGCATGGTGCCTTTTCAAAGTCTTGTGGTGTTAGGGTAATATGAGAGATTTTTGAGATGACCAAATTTTGGTCTCATTCATAAAGAATTTAATTAGATTGTGAACCCTTAGTCTCAGTAACAGCTCACTGAACAGTGAGGCTGAACACTGGGGCACCAACATCACATTTCAGCTGACCCTCCAAACTGTAACTTCTTCACACCTCCTGCAGAGTGTATACACTGTACAGGCACTATATACAATATTCAATGTTAAAATAAAAACTGTAGATATACAGTATAAAGTGGTAACTGCTACTGAAATGCTATTACCATTATAAAAAAGCAATGGATATATTCTTAGTTAATAGAAGATTTTTTTTCAATCAGCTATTTCAAATGATTGAAAAAATATAGCTAGAAGTTGACTTAAGAAAGATATAGAATTAACCATCTCCCACCAGTAACAATGAGGCACTCCATAAAATGTCAACCAGCAAAATAAAAGCAGTCCTATTCAAAAAGAACCATTAAGTAACACTTTTACATATTTTGATACAGTCAAACCCCTTAAATTCACAAACGTCCTATTTCACATGCTTTGATTTTCCAATGCCTCTATTGCATGTTTTCCTGCAAACAGCTTCAATTATTGCAAGTTTTTTCACAGCCAGGCTATGTTGCAACAAAGTTCCAGTTCCCTTAAAAATTGAAAATAAAACTATGAAGATTCTAGGACTAAATTAAGTTTTGCATGAAATGTTGTGTATCCTGTGGGCCTTCAGATTACTGTATTTTTTTTTATGTATGGTAATTTTGAAATAAAGAATTGTATTGTATTGTATTAATACAGACCAAGAGGCTTTCACCAGAATCAAGGTACAGTGGTACCTCAGGACACGAACTTAACTCATTCCAGAAGGCTGTTCGAGTGCCAATACCAAACAAATTTGTTCCCATAAGGAATAATGTAAATTAGATTAATCCATTTCAGGCTCAAAAATACACTTACAAAAGCACTTACATAAATACACTTGCATAATTGTTTGAGTTTTGAGCTGTTTGTATCCTGAGGTACCACTGTACTTGATTGGAGTATATGCCAATAGTTTTACTAAATTTAAATATAGGAAAACTCTTCGCAAATACAAAAATATTGGTAACTTCCAACTGATCAACTTAGGATTATTATTATGATATTTAGAAGGAAATGTAAACCTATAGGGGTCATGATGGTAAGACACAGGCAACATTTAGGCATCTTTATTCCAAGTAAAGTCAAGTACAGAAAATAGGCAGGAGCAGTAAAGATGTGAAGACAATGTAATCAGTCCATCACCCTTGAAGATGTCAATTTGAAGTTGTCACTCCCTCAGCCTGGAGAAGAATTCTGTTTCATCGTCTGAAACACTGTGAAGAACAAGCATCAGAGTGGAGACTTGTATACTGTCTGCAGGAGAGGTGTAAAGTAGTAGAAGAAAGAATGTAATCACTGAGAGGACATGTCCTTCTCCCTCTCAAATCCTCTCAGTGATTACATTCTTTCTTCTACCACTCTACACCTCTCCTGCAGACAGTATATAAGTCTTCACAGTCACTTGTTCTTCACATAGTTTCAGACTATGAAACAGAATTCTTCCCCAGGCTGAGGGACTGACAACCTCAAATCTACATGTTCAAGAGTGATGGACTAATTACATTGACTTCACATCTCTACTGCTCCTGCCTACTTTCTGTACTCGACTGAAGAAGCCTGCTGTGTAGGCGAAACGTTTCGGAATAAAGATGTTGTCCGTGTGTCTTACTTGTCAGTATTGTATACTATTTTGATATTCACTATAGGGGTCATACTGGAGTTCAGAATGGGAGGCAACTAGGATCAATCCATAAAGGGGGAAATAAAACAAAGTTAAATTTCTTAAATCAAGATCCCCTCACCAGCATCAAAAAACCTACCTCTTGGGGTCGATTTGGGAATATCTACGAGGTAAGTAAATAAGTAAGTTTATTCAGGTATACACAAATAGTTATATAGATTACCAAACATAGCAGCATATGTGTAGAGAATCTAGGATAACCCAAAAAAAGTCAGAGTAACTTATTTCCACTGGGGTCCTTTGATCAACATTCATTCTGCATATTTATATCTTAGGTAATCTATTGGTAACTCAGAGTAGTAACTGTAATATTTATCTCTACATTTCCATTGCATGTAAAACTGTTTAATGATGCTGCAGTCTAATCAAGATCATTATTACATTCAAAGCAGTAAGCCCATACGGGCAATACTGAAAACCTAAAAATAAAGTTTTATCTTTTGTTTTATCTTACGTTGAAATGTCTTCAGAGAAAAGACACGATTATTATGAAAGAAAATCATATGTGATACGCATATTAACCTAAATTAAAAAATGTGACATTTCCACTGGGGTTCACACTGCATTAGTAAGTAAGTTTATTCAGGTATACACAAATACAGTTACATAGAATTATCATACACAGCAGCATATGTGTAGATTAGATTTTGCCACCGAAGTGGCTAGTTTATTGGGCACCCCATATCCATCCTGTGGACGGTAGCGCGAGAGCATGTGGATACACAAAAGGCCTAGGAACTAGGCCCCAAAGGGTTAACAGGAATACATATGGATTTATATCTACATATCTATAGTTCACTTATCTGTTACAAGCAAATTTAGGAAATTTGCTTAGTATATCTGGTATCTTATTTTCATTAATAAGATATCTTGACATGTCACATAGGTTATTATACTGTCTGTCTCTGTATTCCTCAATAAGTGGACAATTAAGCACATAGTGTTCAAGACAGTGAGCATATGCCTGATCACATAATTTACATTTAGTTTGATCATCATCTGTGTGTCTCCCAAACTGCCAGAAGTACTTGTAACCAAGCCTAAGCCTGGCCACTACAACATCAGTCAGTCTGTTCACATTGCAAGTTGCTCCATAAACATACTTATCTACGTTCATGTTATCATAGTGGGTTATAGATCTACTCAGGCTTCTAACTGCATTCCTATAACAATCATCTTCATTATTTACTTCTCTCCTAATATTATTCCTAATGCTAGACACAGTTATACCAAAGTTATATTCTACGTTCTCCTTCTGGATACTCTTCTTGGCTAACATATCAACTTTATCATGAAGGAGTAATCCAATGTGTGATGGGATCCATAGCAATTGTACATTAATTCCTTTGTCCCTAATTTTTGAGTATCTATACCTGGCTTCCCCAATGAGCATGTTGTTGGAGTCATTATATGAGCCAAGAGCCTTCAATGATGACATAGAATCAGTAATGATGATAGAGTCAAGCTCAGTGTCATAGGTTAGCTTTAGCACCATTAGGATTGCAAACAATTCAGTTTGCAGTGTAGACGCCCAGTTGTTAATTCTTATGCCTAACTCAACAAATTTATTATCGTTCTTAACTAGGGAGGTGGCAACAAGAGCAGATGCAGCCCTGCCAGAAGACTCCTGTTTAGATCCATCAGTGTATATAACTTGTGATAACTTATTACTACCAGCTAGGCGAAAAATTTCTTCTTGAGCAGTTGCTCTAACAAGAGATTTAAGGAAGGGATTACTAGCAATGAGCTTCTTGGGAGGGACTTGTAGGTATGTGATATTAAATAAACACATCTTCCATGGAGGGGTGAAATGCTCTTGTTGCCTACAGTGATACAGTTCATGCAGGTTATAAAACTTAATGCAATTGCACGTTTTCACAATCCATTTAGATCTGTGTGTATTTACCTCTAGACACTTGTAAGATTCACTGTGACAGTGTCTGGTTCGTTTCTCAACATTCTAATACCGAGTACAGTGTTAATTTCAACAATCCTATCACTGATACTAGAAATACCAAGCTCCTTCCTCATGTTAAGAACTTTTGTAGATCTGGGACAGCCAAGAATAATCCTGAGAGCTTCATTTTGCATTAACTCCAAGGGTCGGAGGGAACTTTCTCTAGCTAATATCAACATGGGAGCAGCATAATCAATTAAGGACCTAACATAGGCTATGTACATCATTCTCACGATTCTCACATTAGCACCATAGTTGGGATTGTAGCCAGCAACAGCTTTGAGAGCATTTAGCCTAGCTTTGCATTTCTTGTTTAGTTGTGGTATAGTGGATTTGTTAAAGGGTACATCTACACCAAGATATCTGTAAGTTTTAACGTAGCTAATGATTTCACCCTGCAAATAGATGGGTGGGGGATGTCGTTTGCTTGTTAATATCTTTGTTTTAGAGGAAGATATTATAAGGCCTAGTCGATTACAAATTGCTTGAACTTCATTAAGAATGGTATTCATCTTCTTATGCCCTGTTGTATGGATCATGATATCATCAGCATAGCTTATAGCTATATGTTTAAGGTGAGGCAGGTAGAGCATTTAGGAGAGCATTAATCAGAATATTAAATAGCATGGGACTAAGAACTCCTCCCTGCGGTGTACCTAAAGACATTTCTTTAGAATCACTTCTGAAGCCTTGGTAAAGGACAGAGGATACTCTATTTGACAGGTATCCTATTATCCAGCAGAGTAAGCTACCACCAATATTCATTTTGGCTAGTTCATGTAGTATAACTGTTCTGTTTGCAATATCAAATGCAGATTTTAGATCAAGAAAAGTGGTAAAACTAGTAGAGGTGTGTGCAGTGAGAAAGGTGGAAATACAGTTCTGCACACTTTTATCTTTCATGAACCCATAGAGGTAGGGGGAAAGTTGATGTCTGATTCTGTAGTACAATCTGTTAAGCATCATTCTTTCAAAAGTTTTGCAAAGACAACTAGTTAAGGAGATCGGCCTAAATGTATCAGGCTGTTGGGGCTTAGGGATAGGCACAATGAGACTATTGGTCCAGGAAGTAGGAAGAACGCCCTCAATGTAACTGAGATTATACAGTGCCAACAAAGGGTGTGTAGAGAACCTGAGATAACCCAAAAAAAGTCAGACACAGTGACTTATTTCCACTGGGGCCCTTCAATTTCTACTAGAGTAATATTTTAAAATCACAAACACGGTTATAAAGGTTCAAGTTTTATCTCGTATATTGTTCTGAAAAATAAAATGCCGACATATTTTAAATACAATAATAATAGTAACATAGTAAGGTGCGGCAGTATTACCTGGTCTCTCACTACAGGTTTGTTCAAGATGTCTATAGCATAGTGGATGGAATTGATCTCATCCACATTGAGAACAGTGTTCAGAGCAGCAGCTCCAGTCAAAATGAAGCCAATGAAGATATAGCCACCAAACGGTTGCATCTTGGTGTTCACATCACCACCACCACACTGCGGCGTCTGCTGCTGCTGCACCACCACCTACACACTTCCTCTTCCACTCCATACTCTAATTTCTTATATATTACTTATACCAGTGTGTATAAGTGTCACGCAATACGTTTTTTTTTTTAATTTTGGTTACATATGTATATGTACATATCAGACAAAAAGCAGTACAGTGGATTGCGTTTAGGTAAGTATCTCGCAGTTATACTTGTTTACATTTCAATTCATTGCAAAATATATATTCATTTGTTTTATGACCCAAACGGGTTTAGTGTATGTAATAATAAATAATAATAATTAGGATGATAATGATAATAATAATAATAATAATAATATAATAATAAATAATAATAAATAATAATAATAACCATAATAACCATAATAATAATAATAATAATAATAATAATAATAATAATAATATATAATAATAATAATAATAATAATATTATTATTAATTATTATTATTATTAATTATTATTATTATTATTATTATTATTGCAGAGTCACTTGTTTGCACAGAACTGCTTAATGCCTCAAATGATGTAGGGGAAGTTTTAGCAGTAAAGGTCGAGAACCAAACCCTAGTCATTGTGGTAGTCTACAAGCCTCTGGATGCAACATCCCAGCAATTCCAGGAACAGCTGTTAAAAATTGACCACTGTCTGGAAAATCTGCCAGCTCCTGCACCCAACATCTTGCTCCTGGGGGATTTCAACTTAAGGCACCTAAAATGGAGGAATATAGCAAATAATATTGTTGCAGTAATAACACCAGGAGGCAGCTCTGATGAAAACTCACACTCACACGAGCTTTTAAATCTCTGCACAAAATTCAATTTAAACCAGCAAATAATAGAGCCTACTAGACTGGAGAATATACTAGACCACATCTTCACTAACAATGATGATCTGATAAGAAATGTCACCATATCAAAAACAATATACTCAGATCACAACATAACTGAGGTTCAGACATGTATGCGCGGAGCCCCAGACCGACATAATGGAGATTAGTCACGAGGGAACATTCACCAAATTCAACTTCAATAACAAAAACATAAAGTGGGACCAAGTAAACCAAGTCCTAACCGATATAAGCTGGGAAGATATACTAAGCAACACAGACCCCAACTTATGCCTAGAACAGATTAACTTGGTGGCACTCGATGTATGCACAAGGCTTATTCCTCTAAGAAAAAGGAGTAGATGTAAAATAGAAAGAGACAGGCGACGGAAAAGAATAACAGAGCGGCTAAAAGAGGTCAATATATCTGAAATGCGTAGGGAGACACCGGTCAGAGAAATAGCAAGCATCGAACTTAAGCTAAAGGAATCTTATAGGAGTCAGGAATCGCGGGAAGAACTAAAAGCCATAAATGAAATCGAAAGAAACCCAAAGTATTTCTTCTCCTATGCCAAATCAAAGTCGAGAACAACGTCCAGTATTGGGCCCCTACTTAAACAAGATGGGTCCTACACAGATGACAGCAAGGAAATGAGTGAGCTACTCAAGTCCCAGTATGACTCAGTTTTTAGCAAGCAGCTAACCAGACTGAGAGTCGAAGATCAAAATGAATTTTTTATGAGAGAGCCACAGAATTTGGTTAACACAAGCCTATTCGATGTTATCCTGACGCCAAATGACTTCGAACAGGCGATAAATGACATGCCCATGCACTCTGCCCCAGGGCCAGACTCATGGAACTCCGTGTTCATCAAGAACTGCCACCGGTGGCCTGGTGGCTAAAGCTCCCGCTTCACACACGGAGGGCCCGGGTTCGATTTCCGGCGGGTGGAAACATTTCGACACGTTTCCTTACACCTGTTGTCCTGTTCACCTAGCAGCAAATAGGTACCTGGGTGTTAGTCGACTGGTGTGGGTCGCATCCTGGGGGACAAGATTAAGAACCCCAATGGAAATAAGTTAAGACAGTCCTCGATGACGCACTGACTTTCTTGGGTTATCCTGGGTGGCTGACCCTCCGGGGGTTAAAAATTCGAACGAAATCTTATCTTTTCTTATCACGAGCCTTTTCCATCCTATGGAGAGGGAGCATGGACACGGGGGTCGTCCCTCAGTTACTAAAAACAACAGACATAGCCCCACTCCACAAAGGGGGCAGTAAACCAACAGCAAAGAACTACAGACCGATAGCACTAACATCCCATATCATAAAAATCTTTGAAAGGGTCCTGAGAAGCAAGATCACCACCCATCTAGAAACCCATCAGTTACACAACCCAGGGCAACATGGGTTTAGAACAGGTCGCTCCTGTCTGTCTCAACTATTGGATCACTACGACAAGGTCCTAGATGCACTAGAAGACAAAAAGAATGCAGATGTAATATATACAGACTTTGCAAAAGCCTTCGACAAGTGTGACCATGGCGTAATAGCGCACAAAATGCGTGCTAAAGGAATAACAGGAAAAGTCGGTCGATGGATCTATAATTTCCTCACTAACAGAACACAGAGAGATGTCGTCAACAGAGTAAAGTCCGAGGCAGCTACGGTGAAAAGCTCTGTTCCACAAGGCACAGTACTCGCTCCCATCTTGTTCCTCATCCTCATATCCAACATAGACAAGGATGTCAGCCACAGCACCGTGTCTTCCTTTGCAGATGACACCCGAATCTGCATGACAGTGTCTTCCATTGCAGACACTGCAAGGCTCCAGGCGGACATCAACCAAATCTTTTAGTGGGCTGCAGAAAACTATATGAAGTTCAACGATGAGAAATTTCAATTACTCAGATTGGTAAACACGAGGAAATTAAATCTTCATCAGAGTACAAAACAAATTCTGGCCACAAAATAGAGCGAAACACCAACGTCAAAGACCTGGGAGTGATCATGTCGGAGGATCTCACCTTCAAGGACCATAACATTGTATCAATCGCATCTGCTAGAAAAATGACAGGATGGATAATGAGAATCTTCAAAACTAGGGAGGCCAAGCCCATGATGACACTCTTCAGGTCACTTGTTCTATCTAGGCTGGAATATTGCTGCACACTAACAGCACCTTTCAAGGCAGGTGAAATTGCTGACCTAGAAAATGTACAGAGAGCCTTCACGGCGCGCATAACGGAGATAAAACACCTCAATTACTGGGAGCGCTTGAGGTTCCTAAACCTGTATTCCCTGGAACGCAGGCGGGAGAGATACATGATTACATACACCTGGAAAATTCTAGAGGGACTAGTACCGAACTTGCACACAAAAATCACTCACTACGAAAGCAAAAGACTTGGCAGACGATGCAATATCCCCCCAATGAAAAGCAGGGGTGTTACTAGCACGTTAAGAGACCATAAAATAAGTGTCAGGGGCCCGAGACTGTTCAACTGCCTCCCAGCATACATAAGGGGGATTACCAACAGACCCCTGGCAGTCTTCAAGCTGGCACTGGACAAGCTCCTAAAGTCGGTTCCTGACCAGCCGGGCTGTGGCTCGTACGTTGGCTTGCGTGCAGCCAGCAGTAACAGCCTGGTTGATCAGGCTCTGATCCACCAGGAGGCCTGGTCACAGACCGGGCCGCGGGGGCGTTGACCCCCGGAACTCTCTCCAGGTAAACTCTCCAGTGCCTCCCTTCGTATTTCAGTTATACTAGCCCATTTCAGCAGCTCTGTGATTCTTCATCTTCACCTGAATAGGGAGCATCTCTCTCTTTCTAGTTTACATCTTCTCTTCCTTTTCATATAGGAATGTGCCATGAGCATAACTCAAGTGCCACAGAGTTAATTCTTTCTAGGCAGAGGTTTGGATCCATGTTGTTTAGGATATCTTCCCAGCTTGTTTCATTTAGGACATGGTTGACTTGATCGCACTGTCTGCTTTTATTATTGAAGCTGAATTTGGTGAAGGCACCTTCATAACTGGTTGCCTTTTGCTGGTCAGGAGCCCTGCGCATACATGTCTGTGCTTCTGTTATGTTGTGGTCTGAATATATTGTCTTTGATACTTTTATATTCCATATCAGATCATCATTGTTGGTGAAGATGAGGTCTAGTATATTTTAGTCTTGTTGGCTCTACTATTTGCTCATTTGGTACTGTGTGTCAGCCTGCTATCGCTTTCATTATTGTGTCAGCCTTGCAATCGCTTTTGTTATTGTGTGTCAGTCTTGCTACTGTGTGTGTGTGTATCCTGCTAGTCGCTCTGTGTTATTGCTGCTTGTTGCATGCATTGCAAACAGTGTGTTATGTTGTGTTAAAGCCAGCTACACGGGTCAGGTGGTTGGTGCCTGAATATACTCTACTAAGTCTGCCCAGACTATCTCTACAGCATTGCTGGTGAATTGCTCATTCTACTGGTATAGAATATCAATGAACTCTCACTGCTGCGCAGCTTCATGACATTATTCATACAAAGTTAAGGGTTGAAGCAACTATGGCGCACCAGACTGAGATATCTCCCGCTACAGAAGCTGTTAATCGCCAATCTCCGCTTAGATTCCTTCGTAAGGTGGGAGGGATAACACCAGAGCAATCAGACCAGCAGTCTCGTGAAACAGGTGGTGCACTGGGATTGTCTCAGGGCGAGTCCACTTCATTGGCGCTTGAGTTAGCAAAACTCAATCTTGAAACAACCAGGGAGTAGCGAGTGTTTGCTAAGGAGGAGTTTGGTAGAGAGAAGGAGAGGAGGCAATTTAAGCAGACTGTGGATGACTACTTCAGTGTGCAAAAGGCAGTGCAGCTACAGTGCTAGTCACGGCATTATGCTGGGTGAGTGCCCTGGCATAATGCCATGATGAAAGTCAAAAGCCTACCATACAGGGGGGTCTTTTTTCATCAGTGCATTATGCTGGGTAGCTGTTAGCATGACATCACGGCCTGTCGTCACACTCCACAGTGACTCCCCAGTGCTCACGTGGCTGCCATGGTGAGAGGAAGTATTGCACTTTTGTCTCTCATCTGCCCCATCTTTTGTCCAGTGTTCCCTTTGGTTTAGGGGCTATACATGTTTGATTATGAGTAAAAGGAAGTCTTTAACACAGCTTCACAAACCTGGGCACCAGACGAAAGAAATAGTGG